TGACACATATCAGTAAGAGTATGTTGCATGTATTTCAATTTGTTTCGCATAATACAAATTCGCGTTGAAGTCATGAACCTTATAATGTATTATAGTGTCCATGATGAAGTATAACTTATGGAATTTAAACTGGCTGTGCCGGGCTATTGCAATTCGCTGCAGAACTTCCAGAAGGTGTCACTCGGCCTCCAAATGTCAATAATTAAGAAATTTGACAAAAACTTTATTTTGTGAATATTTTGAGTGGAATAGTCTGTAAGGAGAAAATTTGAAAGGTATTGTGGCATCTTGTAGCATCGATAACGTTTGTGATCGGAATAATAAAATTCCGATCTCTGGAGAGGTGGAGTTAAAATTCCCCAACAAGATGGTTGTTGTATGTACAGTGTGGTAGCTGTCCTGATTAATATTGGTGTCGGTCATTATCACATATGGTGTTAAAGGACAATAATGGTGTCTGTCATTATTACATATGGTATTAAAGGACAATATTGGTGTCTGTCATTATTACATATGTGATAGAACTCGTTAAACGCGTTCCAAATATAATTTTAACACAGAGATCATTGCTACGATAGATGCGTAATGACGTTTTCAACAATCGGAAGTGAAGTACGCTAAAGGAAAACACGAGTTATCCCTCTATATAACTGACTGTAGTGAAGAGTGATAACAGATACACGGGCGAATTTCTGCTAACTAATGATTCCTTGGGAGACCAAAAGTTGGGAGACTGTAAGAGGATATCTGACAATACAAAAAAGTAATTGAATGTCACTAAGTAATAGAACACGAGAAAAATAGAAATAGTCCGTACATTCCCTTGTTTGTATTCATTCTACACTTAATAAAAACATGGTAATGCATGGACTTTTTCTATTTTTCTTTCCGTGTTCTCTTATCTAGTGACATTCAATTCGTTTTATGAAGTGTCAGATATCCTCTCACAGTCTCTCCAAACAACTATAAACTTAAGGGCAGGGTAAAGTGACACCAGCTTTATGCAAATTAGTCTCGACACCAACATGACTGAATATATTATTTTTACAACACAGAATAGTGGCCCTTGGATACAAAAGTTCAAAATAAACTCCATTACTCACAATATACTATTTCACTGTCAATACCCCTTCAAATCGTACACCCGCGTCTTATCATGTAAACGAAAATTGCAATTTCATCACTTTCTTGCCCAATCGCGGTTTCACCTACAGACAAAACGATAAAACTTGAGGACAGCTATTATCTCTCTATTGCTACTCTATATAGTAGAGTGGTCGAGTCTTAGAGATTTCCGAGCCCTTGCTACCACGGGGTTGGGGTCCGCCATTGTTTTTTTCAATCTTGAAAATGACCCTTTATATGTTTTGACGAGCGATGCGAATAATCGTTAAAACTGACATCATCTACCGTAGTATTATATCGATATGTATATGTTTTATTTATACCACCATACATACAATATCTCTCAAATAACAAAACATGTCATATCTCTCAAATAACATGTCATATCTCTCAAATAACATGTCATATCTCAAAGTTCTGGCTTTAGGATGTATATTATTTTATCGTATTCAACGGCCTAAAAAGATTTTGTTACGTTCTTTGCTTCAGTTTCTTATGTGCATACAGTATTTTCGACAAAGATATGTAAGAAACGAAAGACTGCCGTGCGAAACAAACTAGAAATATTATTCTAGTTTTATGAAGATTCCCCGGAGTAGGATCGCCAGTCCAACCTCGTAGGTTTTCTCCGGGTTCTCCGATTACCTCCAACTGCTAAAGACGCCTACGCGCAAGCGAATTGTTGAAATAAAACTGAACCATGTGTTCGCCCCGAAATGACCTAGTGTGTGTCGAGTGGACGTTAACCCATTTCTCTCTATCTCCCTTTGAAGGTTAGTCAAGGAAAATGTACTTTTCACGTTTTTTATATAATAAAGGATACGATGTTTCATATACCTTCCCAGTGTCGGTATAGCTCTTCTCTGTCGGTATTGTTCAAATTTCAATAATCCATATATTTTATAATTTGTTTTATGAAGCGAATCGAGGACAACATATTTGGGCACCTTTTCTCAAGTGTTTTTTCAGAGAAATGAAAAAAAAAACCAGGGCAATTTGTTGCAATATGACCGACACAGAGAAACAAAAAACGAAAGACAGTCGTGCAGAACGAACAAAATAAATTTCTTCTAGCTATTTGAAGCTGGGGAAAACAGATACCTTTAGTACGTTTTTATATATTAACGGTTTATGTAATGGATACTCAGTTGTACAAAATGTTCACATCTTTTGTTTCTAAGCTATTTGAAGCTGGGGAAAACAGATACCTTTAGTACGTTTTTATATAATAACGGTTTATGTAATCGATACTCAGTTGTACAAAATGTTCACATCTTTTGTTTCTAAACAATGAGCGAAGCGACGTGAAACAGAGAACCCTTAAAGCTGTAAGCTAACTAAACAAGTAGCAAGTTTATAGAGAATTTCGGTTATTAATGAGGGAAACACCCGCACCCAACCTCATGGGTTTCCTCCGGGTTCTCCTGTTTCATCCCACTGCTAAAGACCCCTACGCGCAAGGGAATTATTGAAAATAACTTAAATAAATAGTTATAATTGTACTGTTACTGAACGAGTGTCCAAAACTGGCTAACGTGAATTAACTTTAAATTATTAGAGTTATGTCCCTTAGACAACAACTAAGAATCAAACTAAGATTTTTAAGGGACATTTGTTATGTTTATAGTTATAGTATCCATGGAAATAACACAGTCATGTTTATGGAACAATTACTATGGTTTATTACACTACGACGTTTCAACAAGCTTTCACAAGTCGTTATCAAGCGGGGGGCGGGGAGTGGGGGTGGTTTAAATGGTTAGCACGTGCGCGCTGTATCATAAACTCTGTCATTGAGTCAACCGGCGTGGTATCGATTCCATGGTTGTACATGACCAGGAGTAGGGTCGGATATCCAACCTCATGGGTTTGCTCCGGGTTCTCCTGTTTCATCCCACTGCTAAAGACCCCTACGCGCAAGGGAATTATTGAAATAAAATTAAACCATATGTTAGTCCCAAAAAGATCTAATTTGTGTTGAGTGGACGTTAAACACCAATTCTCTCTCTCTCTCACACTTTCTCTCTCTCTCCGTTATGAAACATATACACAAACAAATTCATGGCATTAACATGGAACAAATAAACAAGATAAGCCAAGCAGCCATTAAACGTCACTCTACTGTAATCCTATACATGTATACACTTAATTGACCAGAAATATTGTTTCAGACCTTCTGATTTCATCAAATTCACAGGTAATCCTGACGTTTTCTCCAACCTGGACCACCCCCTCCCGCCCCGCCCTCTCGAATTCCTGAACTAGTCTCTGGTACATTACTACAATATGATATATTTAATGATAGAGTTTGCCCATGGTTGAAACTAGTTCAACTCTAAATGTCGAACTTTAAACAAACATTTCATTCATTCATTCCTTACGGTACTTGTGTTAAAACTAATCTACACAAGTTATGTGTTGTTTTGCATTGCATTAAAACAAACTTGTGTCGATTTATAAAATCTTGTGTTTTTTTCATATCATTAACACAAGTAATGTGTACCTTCCAAGATTTGTTTTCTTTTTAAAAAAAACACCATACAAAGTCTGAATTCGGGAGTCGTCAAGTTTTAAGAAAAGTAATAAAGGGCTTAATTCACATCTCGAAAATCACATGCTGTTCTTCACTGGAAGGGTGTGAGTACCAATTAATCAGACAATTGCCAGACAGACTTGAATGTTAATTGATGTTAAGTTGTCTGTAAAGTTAAAATGTCTGTCTTTTTTTATTGACCCAATAAACTGATAGATCAAATGAATATATAGTGTACATGTGATTTTCAGCACCCTGGTGTTTTCGAAAATTGATTCAATGTACAATGAACAAAAAAAATGAGTAAAACTCTAAATAATGTAATTGGTTGATGTAATCGAAATTGGGCAGTATTGGTTAACTGAAAAGTAACCAATCAAATTTAATTGATCATCCACGTGTATCTCATAATCGACTTATTGATATAATGGTTCTCCAAGTTATCTATACTTTTTGTCTGCGATATCACTTCGGTGGAAGCGGACGTAAAATACAACTAACTAAGAATAAGTATCTATACTTTAGTCATTGCGACAAATTCTTTCTTTGATATTATATCAGCGACATTCAGTTAGATAGATGTAGTGAAGTTAGCATCAACAGGGTGCTTTAGCCGTGATATTTTAAAAAAAATTATAATGGTCACATAGAATGCCAGACCGCAGGTTTGTAAATTTTTACAAAAAATAAAACTGTGTATTTAATTTAGCATGTATATATTGCTTCTATGTATATAATAATTCGTTTCGTTTAAAACAGTCAGATTTAGAACTACTGCCACTGACTGCACCGGAAGTCTATTTATATAATGGCGCCACAAAGAAAATTTTTTTGATGTGTTCTAAAAGTGTTCCGATAATTCAGCAATCTAATGAATCTGTCTTAATTTTTCTGAAATCGTGCTTAATTATTATTAGCTAATCGGCGCTACACCGTTGTTCAAATACTTATAATTGCAAGAAACCCCCGACTAGGACCAGTAGGTAAGAATCTGTCTTGATTTTATAGTAATACCCGGTTGCAATTATTGGCCGCCATCTTTGATTTTTATAGACGTTCGGGCAAAAGGAGAAATGTATATCCAGACATGGACTATAGCTAGATACTAACTTTTGTGTTAGTTGTTTAGTTGAAATGTAATCTTATTTCTGTAAAAGAAAAAAACAACAAACAAATCAGCCGTTTTTTTTATATCAATGTCATCAATGTGTAGGCCTAATATTAGACTTTCAATGATTCAGAAGTTTGTCTACAGTTTCGTTATTTTTTTTCCCAGTCATTGATGTTAGCATGTACTACACAAAGAAAAACAGGTAACAGAATTTCATTTCCTTTTAATATATTTTTTTAATAATGGCCAATAATTGTTATTGTATGTAACACGAAAAGTATTTATCTCTGTAGAGAGAGGGCGAGTAAATGGGGTTTAAAGTTCACTAAATTCACTTGACACAAACTATGCCATTCATTTCCTTGTATTAAATTGGTCGAATCAAGTAGGTCCATGCTATATATATGTCCTAGAATCAAGTAGGACAGGTAGTCTTCTTCCGCCCTTTTTCTGAACACTGTCTCATTCTATTGCCATCTGTGTATGTTGTGTTATATTAATTCTGCATAATTAACTCTAGTTAACCTAGTTAACTCTATAATAATAAATGAATTTAATATATAAATAAATAAAAAAAATATAAATAAACCAATAATATATTTGTAGTTTAATATGTTTTATCTTATCATTACAGGCAAAGCATGAAGCCAAAGGAAATGTTTTTACCAAGGCATGTTCCTCAATAGCGGAGAGAGTTTTATCCAGTGTCGGTTCTGCAGAAGAACCCATTCATAGCAGACCACCCATTGCAGCACTTGTAAGGTCGCTATAAAGAACCCGACAGACTCTGCGACCAAAAGATCCCACTGACGTGTCGTCAAGCGTAAGTACTCATGCAATTAAATACCCATGTATATAAGAATTTATTAACATGTAATTAAATGTACAATTTTATTTATTTATTAACATGTACTTAAATGTACTTTTTTATTTATTTTTTGTTTTAGCTTGACGAAGATTTCATCGATCATAGTGCACCGGGATTTTATCAAAAAAGAGTAAAAGTTGGGGAAAGGCGCCATCACATTTTTTGTACTGATAGACAGATGCAACTACTCGCACGCGCAAAAACTTGGTATATGGATGCAACTTTTCGGGTGGTGAACAAGCCATGGTCTCAGCTGTTTTCCGTTATATAAATAATATCAATCTGTCTACCACACAAATTTAACAGATACAAATGCATGTTATTCCACAGGTAGACAGACAGGGCCTCCTTTGAAGGGACTCAGTGAAGGGAACGCAGTTGGTTTAGAGTTTGTCTGACCCCTTTGAATATTTGCGTCTCATCTTCAATGAAAACAATCATGTTGCTCTCATGCTGTTCTCAACTAGAATCAAACATATATCGTACCTGAGATTTGTTAGCATGTTCCACACAACCCAACATTTATCGGCACCGGGATTAAGGGTGTATATCTTTGTTTCTAACGCTTATTGGGAATACGCCACGGAAACTACAATAAAAACTTATTTACAAAAACATTCTAAAGAGGGAAAACTGACATATTTCAAGCTTTACTGTATTTAAAGAAATAATTTAAATCAGCCGGCTGAAACCCCGTCTCCGCTATTTGTTCAGTCATTCTTTAGGTATAGTGCCAGTTTCCACCGACAATGATATTGCAAACAAGTGTCCAATCTATAAAAGCATACATTCCTACAAAATGTTTCTTTAGTCAAGTGAAACAATAAATTCATAACTATGCGAGGGTGTGGTGAGTAAATTCGTGGTAACAAGTGTGAATAGGCTAATGTGACATAGAACAAGGTCACATTGATGTTGACAAATACGTAAGACGATATGAACATCAACTAAAAAGATATGTAATGTGATTCAGCTGCAAGGTGATATATGCATATATGAAGCATAGATAATTAAAACTTCTATTCAAGTTAAACCAACTGTATCTATTTATTTAAGTCTTACGTCGAGCTGAATACATTTTATGATTTATTTTCATCTATTGGTGGTTAACAGTGTGTAACTAAAAACTAAAATTGGATCTTATTATTGCCAATGATATAATGTACATGTAATAGCAAGTGTATATATATTTTTTGTTCAGTCTGTACACAGTAACATATCTGAGAACCATATTATTATCATTTCTGCCCAAGGCTCCCTGTGCCTTATAGTTAGCAGTGATACAAGGCAATTACCAATTTTCCATGTTCTTGGCCTGAAGAAATAAAATAATAAAAGTCAAGTTTTTATTATTATGCAAGTGGAAAAATACAATTATTCATAGTATGATTTGAATAAATACAACTGATTTGAAGTTGGAATTATTATTTGTCTAAGATGACTGGGCATTTACAAATTGAAATAGCTACTCTTCATCAAGAAAATACATGAATATTTTTCCCAATTCACCTGGATTTTATTGTAGGTCTTTATACGTGAAATAGCTTTATTTAACGTCGGCTACCACCGAAGTGATATTGCAGAAAATTAACAAATTCGGATTCCCTTTTAAAGGAAATTGACTGCACTATCGCTGGATTGTATTATATAGGTCATGTCAGTTTTTTTCAAAATGGCGCCCAGAACACAAAACAAACATTGCAATTCAGGGCTGACTGGTGTCGAGGCTGTATCCTAAGAATGATTTTTTGAATATTTAATCACACAGAAACACAAGTATGCACATGCAGTTATGATATAATATTAAATTAGCTTACCTCAAATACCTCGAAATATACTGTTTGGTCAGTTTGTCCGCCCGCCATATTTCTATTAGTCACACATCCTTCGGCCAATTAAAATGGACGTATATTTTGTTTTAACCGAAACGAAAAATTTGCGTTATAAATAGTAAACGAGCTTGATTGACCGACCACTGCTAATGTTTTTTCGTGAAACGGTATAACTGCAATCAACACACGGCCGCCATTCTCGATGATTGACAACTCACGTTTTTCCTCATCCACCAAAGAACCGTTAGGTTTCTTTGAACATACTGTAATAACATTGGGATTATCAGTTAATCAGCTTTAATTATCCCGCTTTGATCGTTGCCATTTCTTATATTTTCCACAAAAAACCTTTGCCTTGTACGCACTAATTTATCAATTGGTATTGCCATCTACGACAAGCATGTCAACGTGCAGCTCACGGATTATCGTTAACAATTTCTAGGGGCTTGTAAAAAAAAGATTGCATGTCGTGTAAATATTTTTTTTGTTTTTTGTGTAGGTCATTTTCAAATAAATTCATCAGCATATTATTCGTTTTAAATAAATATAAAAGTTTTATGAGAAACGATGATTATCAAAGAACCGTAAGTGCAACTAATGTTTTATCGTTTGGTTGAGCCTTTTACTAACCACGTGTTTCATGTTAATAAATATTTTCTTTCGTGTTTTGTTTGAATTGGCCTATTTTTTAATAAATTATCCCGAGTCCCAAACGTCGTTAACCCGAGTCCCAAACGACGTATACCAAAGTCCCAAACGTCGTATACCGGAGTCCCAAATGTCGTGGTCATATTTTTTTGAGTCCCAAATGACGCGAGTCCCAAATGACGTGAGTCCCAAATGACATGTAATCAACCTAGAGTTGTTGTTAGTGTTTGTCGGATAGATCCTTTATACTTACTGGCGCTAGGTAATTTCGAGGCTAATATTGTTCAATTTTATTTGAATGATTTGCTTGCGCGTACCGTAGGAGTGTATTAGAAACAGGTTCGAGAACGGCTGAAGAACATGAAAACACTTTCATGAGTCTCGAACATGAGAGAACGGTATCCATGGTAACAAGATGAATTAAATTTATACAATCTGTTACGATAACTTGTTTAGTATTTACTTCGCTATTAAGCATAATTTTGATAAATTATGACACCGTTTTACTCCTTTTCAATTCTTTGGATGACGATTACATCACCTTTTGATACGCCCTCGTCCGTAGGTTTGTCCGTCGTCTACAGAACTGATTATTTTGAAATTGATATGTTGTTTATTTTAATGAGATGAATCCTATTTAATTTCAATAATTTCTGTTAGTTTCTTCTGGAGTTATGGCCCTTGTTTCACTTTGTGAAATTCATTTAAATCTTTTAAATTAGTGAAACGAAGACGTCTATTAAATTTCTGCGATTTCTGTGAATTATGTCTAGATTTGTGGCCCTTGTTTCACTTTTTCGAACCTTGTGAACGCACGAACAACAAAATTATCATCCGATTTGTATGAAAATTGTATGCATTATTTAAATTAGTAAAACACAAAACAAAAAAATCTGTCAAATTTTAACAATTAAGGCCCTTGTTTCAGTTTGTAGAACCATTGTAAACCCACAAACGACGAAAATTATAATCTTGTATGAAATTTTCTTGTAAATGCCCACATTACCTACAAAAGAATGAATATGCGACAATCCCTGTTGACTGCGCAAACGATTAAACTGCTGTGGGCATATGTTTCGTTGCCTGGCAACCTAACTTACTTGATGTTATACTGGCCACATACTACATCCAATTTTCGAACGGTATTAAACTTCTAAATTAATAAATGCACCCATGATGCTGTTTTCTCAGCAGTTATCGATGCGTCGACCTTTGTAAACCCACAAACGACGAAAATTATAATCTTGTATGAAATTTTCTTGTAAATGCCCACATTACCTACAAAAGAATGAATATGCGACAATCCCTGTTGACTGCGCAAACGATTAAACTGCTGTGGGCATATGTTTCGTTGCCTGGCAACCTAACTTACTTGATGTTATACTGGCTACATACTACATCCAATTTTCGAACGGTATTAAACTTTTAAATTAATAAATGCACCCATGATGCTGTTTTCTCAGCAGTTATCGATACGTCGACCATGTTTGTTCTCCCTCACACCAGCTATGAGGTAGTGTGGGATTTGAGAACGGCAATGTGTTCGTGAACGCATTCCAGACTGCTCAAGTCCGACAAGAACCCATTCTCCGTCCGTTCTCTGCACCGGAACACTGTTTCGAATACACCCTAGGGGTATTTAGCAAAGGGAGGAAACCGGAGGACCCGGAGAAAACCCACAAGGCTGGACAGGCGACCCTATTCCTAGTCACATTCAAGTGGGGAATCACATAATAATGGCCTATTTCAAATAAGATATTTGCATATAAAGAAAGTAGGCTTACAGCCTCTTTCAAATGTGATATTTGCATATAAAGAAAGTACAAACTTAAACCGTCAGTGCTGGATAAACTAGCCAAAGGATTTGGCTGAATCAATTGGCGCTAAACTTCACCTAGTTTATCCACTGACATACGCCCGAATCAAACATGTTTGATATATTTGGCCGAATTGTATTTGAGTGGTGTGTCCGCTTCGCCGAAGCATTCGTCTGATTTTAGAATTCATTAGCCAATCACCACTCATTCATATCGAGTGGGTATCGCAAACTAGCAGTCGAACTGTGACACGGGTGCTACAGCCAACAAATTCCAACTACCATACTATCGGCTTAAATGCACGCCAATAGGACCTCATGTTTTGTGTTCCATTGAAACGACTAGAAATGAAATGAAATGGGGTTTAACGTCCTACTGTTTTGCTCCGAACTGGGCTAATGAAGACAGGCATACACCACACAGTGTGCTATGAGGGAAATTTTGCCCGGACAGCGGCACTGCGGTGTATCGAATTCCAACTGTCAAGGGATCTTTTACGTGCACGCCAACGTGTACACGGGACCTCGTTTTTTCATTTCATCCGAATGACTAGACAGCTATCCTTGTCAGGCCCTCCGTCCTGCATCACTGACAAGGGGGAACCACGCCGGGAAATCTGGGTGAACTTTCTCGGCCAATGCAGGGATCGAACACCCGACCTCCAGGCTAGCGAGCCAGCGTCTTACCCACCATGACGACTAGGCATGGAATCCATGCTGAAAAATTCAAATGAGCTTTCTCGGTCAACACTGGGAGCGAACCCGCAACCTCCCGGGTACCAAGCCAGTGCCTTACACACTAAGCCACATGACTCTTCTAATTACTGTGACAGTACAGTCACATGACAAACAAGGGTTATTAAAACAGATTTTCAAGGCTTGGGTAAGATCTTCGGGATTCAAATGGTTTTAAATATCACACAGTTTGTATATGGTAAGGTATCTTAAACAGTTTATTACATGTCACATATTCATATTTTTCAGTTTCCATATTACATGTAGATGCCATAGCAAATCAAAGATCATATAATAAAATAAGTCAAAAAACCCAAATATGGAAAAAGAAAGAGCTGAAGAAATGGTGATTTGAGCACCTATGCTTTCTCATAGGTGTTTTTGGAGGGCGAGTGTTCAATTCTAATAGAAAAGATTGTTGTTATGGTATTTTAGAATCTCACCATAATGTGTTTGGCACAATATATCCCGGTTGGAGCTGATGTGACATAAACCTCCATTTCATTTTATTGTTTTGAAATTTAAAATTCAGTTTAGTATAGTAAATTTGTACACGTACATGTATGTGCACAAACAGAATCTTACTTATGTCTAGATACATGTAGATATGACTGTCTCATCTGTGGGGGACCACGGTGGCCAAGTGGGTTAGACACTGGCTCGCATATTTTAAGGTCGCGGGTTTGCAGTAAGACATTGCAGTACGGAGGACTGGGCTAATGAAGTTGGGCATATGCCATACAGTGTGCTACGAGAGAAATTTTGCCGGGTACCGTGACCTTAAGGCCTTCTCTTGTATCAAATTCTAACTGCCAGGGGATCTTTTACATGCACACCAATGTGTACACGGGACCACGTTTTTTTGTTCAATCTGAATGACTAGACAGCTGTCCTTGTCAGGCCCTCCGTCCTGCATCACTAACCAGAGGAAACCACGCCGGAAAATCTGGGTGAACTTTCTCGGCCAATGCAGGGATCGAACACCCGACCTCCAGGCTAGCGAGCCAGCTTCTTACCCACTTAGCCACCATGACGACTAGACAGGGAATCCATGCTGAAAAATCCAAATAAGCTTTCTCGGTCAACACTGGGAGCGAACCCGCAACCTCCCGGGTAGCAAGCCAGTGCCTTACACACTAAGCCACATGGCTCTCTTTTAATTACTGTGACTCTCCAGTCACATGACAAACAAGGGTTATTAAAACAGATTTTCACGGTTTAGGTAAGATCTTCGGGATTAAAATGGTTTTAGATATCACACAGTTTGTATATGGTAAGGTATCTTAAACAGTTAATTACATGTCACATATTCATATTTTTCAGTTTCCATATTAGATGCCATAGCAAATCAAAGATCATATAATAAAATAAGTCAAAAAACCCAAATATGGGAAAAGAAAGAGCTGAAGAAATGGCGATTTGAGCACCTATGATTTCTCATAGGTGTTTTTGGAGGGTGAGTGTTCAATTCTAATAGAAAAGATTGTTGTTGTGGTATTTTAGAATCTCACCATAATGTGTTTGGCACAATATAGCCTGGTTGGAGCTGATGTGACATAAACCTCGATTTCATTTTAATATTTTGAAATTTAAAATTCAGTTTAGTATAGTAAAACTGTACACGTACATGTATGTGCACAGACAGAATCTTACTTATGTCCAGATACATGTAGATATGACTATCTCATCTGTGGGGACCCATGGTGACCAAGTGGGTTAGACACTGGTTTGCATATTTTAAGGTCGCGGGTTTGCAGTAAGACGATGCAGTACGGGGGTCTTACAAGGACAGCTGTCTAGTCGTTCAGATTGAACAAAAAAACGTGGTCCCGTGTACACATTGGCGTGCATCTAAAAGAGCCCCTGGCAGTTAGAATTTGATACAAGAGTAGGCCTTAGGGTCACGGTACCCGGCAAAATTTCTCTCGTGGCACACTGTATGGCATATGCCCAACCTCATTAGCCCAGTCGAAGCTGGACAGTAGGACGCCAAACCCCATTTCATTTCATTTTTTTCATTTTGTCTCATCTGTGACAAAGCAAACCAACACATTACAATACAATTTAATTAAATTAAAACTTTCGTCTATTTAAATATTGAATCGATTTAAGTCAACTAAAACATAGTATGTTTTTTTTCTCAGTTAACTACATCAGAAAGATCAAGACAGTTGGAAATGGCTATTCATATTATGGAAACTTTTTCTCACAGAGCTTGATAATCAGGTAAAATGTAAGTAACATACATATTTGTATTTTTAATCATCAACTAATTCTATACACTTGATTGGTAATCTAGTTATTCTTCTTGGGGCAATGCCTAGGACTCTCCTATTCAAGTCTTGGCATTCTTGATTTTTGACAATCACATCCATTGATTTTCTTCAAGTTGTGATAGACCCTATGTGTATTTTTACAGTAAATAGCAGTATAAAAATGGACAATATTTTACTTTTCAAATAGATTTTAATAGGTAATATCCAATTTGTTGTCGATGGAAATAAAATAGAATAATCGGCATGGGTCTGTTACTGGACAAGACACAATAAGTGTTACCCAAAGATGAAACAAAATAGAGACTCAGTCTCGATGTGGCAAAATAAATTGTTTATTTAAACATTGTGAACCATAAATAGTAAGAAAGTATTCTTATTGCCTACTTTTTATTTTTTAGGCTGGAAGATTATTTGATGTATGATAACAACAAGAGGTCCCAAGCATCAATTTATTTTATAATTCTGGAAAAGAATGCATTTGACCCAATTTTTGAATATTTTTTTTTGTTTTTACTGTTAAATATTCATCCCAAACACAATTAGATTTTAATTCTCTACAGAAATTTATGTATAATATAGAATGTAAAGTGACATATAAATCACTTAGAATTTGGTTGGAAATCATAAAGTATTTAATAGGCATAGTCTAGAAACCAAATGTAGATCAAATATACCCAGAATTACAAAAAAACCTTGACCTACATTAAGGTGACTTTCCCTTGCTTATGAAATGAAATAGGGTTTAATATCCTACTTTTCTGTGTTATTATGGTGGTTCTGCCCAACAACCTACTCTTATATCAAATATTTCAACTGTCAAGGGTTGTTTAAAGGGAACCCAGGAGGGCCGAATGGTTAACACACGCACATTGGATCAGAAGGGTCTGTCATTGAGTCAGATAATTCAATTGTCAAGGGTTCTTTAAAGTAAAAGCAGTGGGGGTAGTTTCAATTCTGGGCTTATACCCAATTATCCCTTGCTATGTCCTACACTACTGACGTGTGGGAACTATGTCGGAAAATCCAGTTGAAATTTCTCGGCCAATGCACTCACTGAACCACAGTGGCTCCTCCTTGCTTTTGACTTGTGATTATTTATATATATTTTGTACATATTATTTAATGTTTGCGATTTTCTCTGATATTTTTTTATTTTTCAATCCTGTAATCTTGATGCTTTGCTCCTTTTATGTACAAAATATTCATTTTGTTTGAGGAAAAGGTTCTACATCATTTTATTACTCCTGCAAAATAGTGCACTATTCTTTTGTTAGTTTTCTGTGTATGCTAGTTATTTCTAGATGCCTCACAAATCACTTGTAATATGACTTTGTAGCACTTTTCAGTTTCTGAAAGTATTTCAATTTAGTGCATAATTAATCTAATTAGGGATTGGTTTGGATGTTATTAAATTTAGATATATTTGAATTATATATTTTTGGGGTATGGGGTAGGGATCTTTCTTTTCTCAGTTCTTGTTTTCGGGTAAAGAAAAAATTAAATAGCTATTTTGTGATGTGGGGGGGGGGGGGGAGGGGGGCAAAGTATAACAAAATTTTTATTAGTATTAGAATTATATCTCTGTTTTTCTGTTAACATTTCAAATGATGTCTATTTAGTTTTGATTTGGTGGTGTTAATTTACTTTTTCCTATCATTTTATGAATAAATGATAATTTAACAAATAAAATTATTGTTACCTCATTTATCAAACTTTACAGGTTAAACAGAGCAAAAGGGGTGGGGGGCTGCATGGGAAAGATTGCTAAATTGAGGGAAAATAAAACACAAGTTTTTGTTGGTGGTTATACACAAGTTTTTATGAAACCACACAAGTTTCAGAAATTTCAACACAAGTTTCAGAAATTTCGACACAAGTTTCAGAAATGTCAACACAAGTTTCGACACAAGTATTGTGTAGATTTTCACACAAGTTTCAACACAAGTTTGTGTTGTTTGGTAAATTTTAACACAAGTCTTGTGTTGTTTCAACATTTAACACAAGTTTGTGTTGTTTCAACATTTAACACAAGTTTGTGTTGTTTCAACACAAGTTTGTGTTGTTAAATAGAGACACCTAACTTGTGTTGAAAACAACACAAGTTTGTGTTGTTTCAACACAAGTTTTTTTTCAGTGTAATAACTCCATTTGCTTTCGGGGATTTGGATGTCCACTCGACACAAACTAGGTCATTTTAGAATTAACACATGGTTCAATTTTATTTCCCAACCTCGTGGGTTTTCTCCGGGTCCCCCGGTTTCATCCCACTGCTAAAGACCCCTATGCGCAAGCGAATTATTGAAATAAAATTAAACCATATGTTAGTCCCGAAATGACCTACTTTGTGTCGAGTGGACGTTAAACCCCATCTCTCTCTCTCTCTCTCAATTTTATTTCAATAATTCCCTTGCGCGTATTGGTGTCTTTAGTAGTGGGAGGAAACCGGAAAACCCGGAGAAAACCCACGAGGTTGGACAGGCAATCCTTGGGATTTTCCTGTTTTATATGTTGAGACACTTGGCAAGGGAAAGCGTATAGTTGTTCGGATGGGACGTTAAACTGAGTTCCCTTGTGTACATTAACGTCCACTCGACACAAACAAGGTCATTTCGGGACTAACACCTGGTTCAATTTCATCTCAATTCTTCGCTTGTACGTAGGGGTCTTTAGCAGTGGGAGGAAACCGGAGGACCCGGGGAAAACCCACACGGTTGGACAGGCGACACTACTCCTTGTCACGTACAACCTGGGAATCGAAACCCCGCCAGTTGACTCAATGACAGACCTTATGATACAGTGCGCACGTGATAACCATTCGGCCATCCAACCCCCCAGAAGAACCCTTGAAGTTGAAATTCCATGTAAAAGTCGGTCTTCTATTAACATTTCTGTTAAACCCCATTTCATTTCATATATATTTATATATCAGATACTTATTCATTTAAACTTAAAATGTATGACGATCACTTTAATATATACGCTTATTTATAATTTGTAATAAAGTATATATAATTGTAATAAAATCGATGTTAATAGAGTAGTTTATATCAGTTGTGAATAAAATATATTATATTAAAATACGTGATAGGAACAAGTCTATCAAGGTAGGTCCATTAAAAATACGGGCTAAGTGGGTAAGACGCTGGCTCGCTAGCCTGGAGGTCGGAATGGTTTCCCCTTGTCAGTGATGCAGGATGGAGGGCCTGACACAGACAACTGTCTAGTCGTTCGGATGGAACGAAAAACCGAGGTCCCGTGTACACATTGGCGTGCACGTAAAAGATCCCTTGGCAGTTGGAATTCGATATAAGAGTAGGCCGTAGTGCCGCTGCCCGGGCAAAATTTCCCTCATAGCACACTGTATGGCGTATGCCCGTCTTCATTAGCCCAGGTTAGGAGCAGAACAGTAGGACGTTAAACCCAATTTCATTTCATTTCATTTAAACATACGGATTGAGAGAAATGACATGAAATGAAATGGGGTTTAACGTTCTATATTTCCTAGGGTGATGGGTGGGGTGGGGTGGGGTGTGGTGGGGTGATGGGTGGGGTGGGGTGGGGTGGGGTGGGGTGTATGGTTTAAATCGTCTGTCAAGTTGTGTGGTTTCTATTCAGATAAAACAATCGGGTCAATGAAGAATGTCATACTCTATACAGGGTGCTATATGAGGGAAGTACATACTCTATACAGGTTTTCGTCCTATCCCAACGACTAGACGCAATTCTTTGCCAGATCGGGAGATAAGTGAGTCAAGACACTGACTCGCTAGCCTGGGGGTAGCGGGTTCGCTCCCAATGTTGGCCGAGGAAGTTCATCGTGATTTTACAGCGTGGTTTCCACTTGTCAGTGGTGCGGGGCGGAGGGTCTGACAAGGACAGCTGTCTAGTCGTTAGGGTGGTACGTGCACGTAAAAGACACCTCTGTCTATATTATACGGGTCTGTAAATAAAAGTAGCAACAACTGGTCAAGTTTTTAATAAGTTTATAGTTTAGCAAATGTAACTCATGATATCAATAATTAAATTACGTAAGTTTAACAAAATAATATTTAATATACGAAATAGTTGATGAAATAAAAGTAAAATGAAATGAAATGGGGCTTAACGCCCTACTGTTCTGATCCGAACTGGGCTAATGAAGACGGGCATACGCCATACAGTGTGCTATGAGATAACTTTTGCCCGGACAGCGGGACTATTGCCTATTCTTATATCGAATTCCAACTATCAAGAGATCTTTTACGTGCAGGCCAATGTGTACATGGTAAATCAGTTTGTTGTCCCATCCGAACGACTAGACAAAATAAAGGTAATATGAAAATAACAAATATTATTATTTATTCTTGGAAACTTGGAAACTTAAATGACTTATATACAAAATGACTTAATATTCAACACTATTATATTTACACATACCCTGAATACGATAACAACTGAGGAGGTTACTAATAAGTTTATAGATAGTCACCTAAATACGAAAACAAGGTTAAATCTAAAAGTTAAGGCCAACTCAATTTTTGTCAAGGTCTCTGTCAAGTTTCTAATGTTTATAGTTAGTAAATGTAACTAAAGATCTGACTCTTTCTTGGGTTTGTCGATCTTTTATTTCTTATGTTCCCAAATCTATAGAAACACGTTACTTTAAAACAAACCTACTAGTTACCTCAATGGTTAATCCCCACCCCTTAAATAATTATAATTACTCTATTCTTTAGAAAAATATTACTTGAGCTAATTATGACACATACATATACAAATCTCAAAAAGCTCCATATCAAACGCCGTATAGTGCCCGCCAAGAATATTAACTCGCTCCATAATGGTTATAAATGGCTAACCAGTGAAATATAAATTTAACAAAAATATTTTCAATTAAATTGACATATAATGTTATAAAAATAAAACATAAATTTAACTAAACTCAACTCAAATTGATACAACTGTTATGTATGGTTTAATGGTCGAGAGCGAGACATTAAACAATATATTGATACTTCACTACCTCCAGACCATCAAACAACTTAAAATACAGACACTATCCCGCACGTGCCTCACACGAGTCCAATATTTCATCTAGTATAGATAATGTATGATTGGCAAGTTACCCGTACATTATTGGAAATAATCGTACGCCAACGTCAAAGGATGATGTCACATCTGTATTTTAAGTTTTTTAAAATTGTATATTTAGTTTAAACAATATTTTATTATTTAATAAGTCACAGATATAGTTACATACTATATATGGATACAATAACAAGCATTGATGTTTATATAAAATCGCTTCCATAAACAATGATCATTGAGAAGTTTGAGGACTGGATATATATTCTATTTACATATCTTACAGGGTGCGAAAGACAAGCTCCCTTGGCAAGAACATACAAAACACATACAGTATTTTATTACAGTATATAACTATAATTTCAATTCTATTTGGGCTTGTATGACGTCATATCTGGAACAAGGCACCTAAACAACTAATTTGTGTGAAGTTTAATGGACACGTTAACATAAATTTCGAACTACTAAACGATCAAAGACCGGTATTCAAATTAATAAATAAATCAACAATATTATTGTTTTTTGATATAAATAATAATCTAATTTAATGAAAATTCAACTCATTTTGGGAGGTGTGGGGGGGGGGGGCTTGGTTGTAGGAGGGAGTGGCGTCGTAATCCGTCACTGGAATTGAAAGAACAGTGGGTGGGTATGTCAAACGGGTTTTACATTCGGTAGGCCCATGAACTTTCCATTATCGGACGGTGTGACGATGGATATGACGTCAGTGGATTTGTCTATCACGCCGTCTTCATTATCGGACGGTGTGACGATGGATATGACGTCAGTTGATTTGTTTATCACGTTGTCTTCATTATCGGACGGTGTGACATATATGACGTCAGTGGGGGTGTTTATCATACTGCAATGAATATTTAAAATATATCGAGGCATTTTTCATAACGGAATTAAAGGTTGGTTTATTGTACAGAGTTTGACAGATTGGATTTCATTTCATTTAGATGTTTTTGAGTTTCTTCGATCTCATTCGCCATCCGCTTAAATTCTTTGGCCAATTCATTCTGTGTCCCGTTGTGAATATCTATTGAATTAGATACAATAGTGTATATGTCAAGGGGTATTGCTATGGCCGTAAGAACAGCACCACCAACTTTAATGGTTTTAGCAAATTTACCCAGACCCTTCGCGCCAACTTTCGCGCCATCTACCACGGCATCTCCAACGCGGAGTAATCCTACCACGGATTTAGCAACCCCGGCGATTAGTTTAGTGCCGGAAATAGCCAATTTCGCAGATTCATAAACAAGCCTTAATTTTTCCTCCAGTTTCTCCATTAACCTTTCGTCATTTTCTAGAAGTTTGTTAATTTCCTCGCGTTTGTTCTTGGTAATAACTGATTTTGCGATGGCCGCACTAGCACCAGTAACGGCACCTGCTGTACCGAGGGCAGCTCCTGCCGCTGTGAGGGATAAAGAGCCACCAAAAGTGAAAGGTGCCCCTAATATTCCAGCTAACATCATCACGCCTCCCGTAACACCAGCCGTGCTTCCGGTTATTTCACTTATCTGTACGTCTTTTTCCATTTTATTCAATTTGTCGGCTTCTTCTCGAAGAGTTCTCACCAAGGCCTTTCTATTGTCTATTACTTCCGTCAACAACGGCAATGCCTCAGTTATGGCAGCTGAAATTCTGAAAATATAAAATATGAATGGAGATAGAGACTAGAATAACGTAGCTACATCGAATTAGTCGGTTTGTCCACAGATCACTAAAGATTTGCCCATTGACTTCAATGTTAATTCTCGTCTCTTAGACTGACTCTAACTCTTTCCCAAATTTTTGTTGGGTAGAACGCTTTCTACCACAGATGGAGCAACATGTGGCAACCTCTTGCCTAAAAGCAGTATGAGGTTCACCATGGAAAACCTGAGATACACAAGCTGGAAGTAGAGACAAATAAACATGCAATTTTTGATCCTACATTTCAACCTAACCAACCTCTCAACTCTTGTATCCTTCTGCCTCAAACTCATGAATATTCACCAAAACCTGGCAGAAAATGTGTTTTCAAACCCTTTTCTTCGATTCTACACCAAAAAGCCAACAAAAATCGCCATGCAAAAGGAAGAAAAGGGGAAAGGGAGAGAAAGGCTAAAAATAACTGGGTGACGGCGTAGAAATATTTGATAAGCTGTGTCCGTTTACGTACAGCCAAACGATTGACTTCTGGTTTTATTTAGGCTGTGGTCAACTTCTGACATCCACGTTTATGTGTTTCCTTCACTCTAAACTTAAAGACTCGATGCACCAGTTTGACTCAATACGCCGAATATGTACTTTAATACAGAAAGTAAAACAAAAAGACAAACACTAGAAATTCTTCTGACTTGGATACAATTGGATTTGTCCTCAACCAGCGCCTTAGTACTCTTGGGCAACATAGATCGATCAAATTTGTCATAACTTTATAAATACTTAACGAAATGGAACCATTTTTAGACAGATTCGTGTTGCAAGTGATTCCTATAGCGCTAAATGACGCATCACGCCTTTAAGGACAACACAGCTTTCCGATTTTCCATGATTGATATAAATATGAGTAAATCAATTGTTACCTCTCGAAATCTTGTAACTCTTGTTTGGTCATTTCACTCTTTCTCTTCATCAAATTTTCCATCTTGTCTAATATAAGGCTGTTATATGTCTGTAATAAATATCAGATGGTGTATAACAAACAAGAAGGGGAGGTAATCCATGAGATAGTGTATGGAGTCAGATTACCATTAATCACTATTGATCTGCTTCGATTGGGCTAATGAAGACGGGCATGAGGGAAATTGTGACGGCCTACTTTTATATCGAATTCCAACTGACAGGGGATTTTTCGCGTGCACGCCAATGTGTACACGGAACCTCGGTTATTTCGTCCCATTCGAACGAATAGACAGCTGTCCTTGTCAGGTCCCCCGTCCTGTACCAATGACAAGGGGAAACCACGGCCAACACCGAGGGGAGATGGGGTGGATACAATGATGTACTCGTGATATAATATTTATAAACGCGTGGATGGCAGTTAATGACAAACTAGGTCATTTCGGGACTAAAATATAGGTGAACTTTATTTCAGTAATTCACTTGCGCGTAGGGGTTTTTGGCTGTGGGATGTAAACGGGGGATCCGGAGAAAACCCACGAGATTGCAAAGGCGACCTACTCCTTTTCACGTACAAGCTGAGGACCAAAACGACAACGCTTGACTCCAACGCTTTAAACCATTCAGACACCCAAACTTCCACTCTGGCTAAGCAAGGTAGAATGAATCAAATAAAAACAATAAGTGAGAGAGAGAGAGAGAAATGGGGTTTAACGTCCACTCGACACAAACTAGGTCATTTCGAGACTAACATATGGTTTTAATTTTATTTCAATAATTCGCTTGCGCGTAGGGGTCTTTAGCAGTGGGAGGAAACCGGAGGACCCGGAGAAAACCCACGAGGTTGGACAGGCGACCCTACTCCTTGTCACGTACAACCGGGGATTCGAAACCACGCCAGTTGACTCAATGACAGACTTTATGATACAGCGCGCGCACGCTAACCATTCAGCCATCCAACCCCCCCAAAACAATAAGTAACGAGTTGTTTATATGGTATGCTATTCACTCAACACCTATCACTGGTAACTGATACCGTTGACTAATGAAGCTAGGCCTTTTAGTAATGACAATTTTTGTCATTAAATCCTATAAGTGGTCAGTACTTTGTATAGTAATATGTATACAGTTGTCATAAATTAACAGTTGTGTAACTAGCTGTAAAAGATGCCACTAATAGTGAAAAAGCGTGACTATTTATAACACTCATCACTATTGAATATATAAACCTGGACAATAATGGTGTACATCGTTCAATAGTCACAGATTTAGCACCTTTACTACCTGATTACCATCAAATTGAAGTAACTACTAAACATTATGTATATAAACTGATGACTTTGATTTATTAGTTTCGTATATTTTCATTTATAACAGTTATTTGTTCCTTAGTCAACGATATATCAACGTTACAGCGTATCTGCTTATAATGCTTCTTTAGATATTAAAATAATATCAGACCAAAAATCCCAAAATAAGTAGCTGTGTTTACGGTAACCCAACGGAACCTATATACGCTTGGGGTGGTTTCCTGCAGACAAATTCAAACAATGAATTACAACAATCAGAATCGACATTTTTCTCAGTAATTAGATAAGTTAAACATGCTAAGAAATAAATTATAAACCATTTTCGGTATATAAAGAGTTATTCAGCAATTAATAAAGTTAGAAATACTAGGACATAAATAATAAAGTGTTTCTCAGTAATTAATAAAGTTATAGAAACAATAAACACTTTACGGTATATAAAATGATATTACAAAGGATATAGACTGCATGTATCGATACAGGTGATTAAAAAGATTATTTTATCGTTCAGTTAGTCCTATTAAATCTGGGGATCACGTGGCTAAGTGGGTAAGACGCTGGCTCGCTATACTGGAGGTTGGGTGTTAGATCCCTGCATTTGCCGAGAAAGTTCATCCCGATTTTCCGGCGTGGTTTTCCCCTTTTCAGTGATGCAGGACAGAGGGCCTGACTAGGACAGCTGTCTAGTCGTTCGGATGGGACAAAAAACCGAGGTCCCATGTACAAATCGACGTGCACGTAAAAGATCCCTGGTTAGTTGGAATTCGATATAAGATTAGGCCGTAGCGCAGCTGCCCGGGCAAAATTTCCCTCATAGCACACTGTATGCCGTATGCCCGTCTTCATTAGCCCAGTTTAAGAGCAAAACAGTAGGACGTTAAACCCCATTTCATTTCATTTCTATTAATTCTTACGCCCACAAACTCGACGAAAAAATACAATCCAACCGACTCACCCTCTTTTGAGGTCGAGGTAACCCCGTAAACACAGTAATGAAATGAAATGGGGTTTAACGTCCTACTGTTCTGCTCCGACTGGGCTAATGAAGACGGAATACGCCATGTAGTGTACTCTGAGTGAAATCTTGTCTGGGCAGCTGAGCTACGACCTACTCTTATTCTTATATCGAATTGCAACTGCCAAGGGATCTATTACATGCACGCCAAGGTGTACACGGGACCTCACCGATCCACCGTAAAGATAGGTATTAGATTTTGGTTTTATAATGGATGGTATAAAAATAATAATAGTCCTGTGGAGCCAAGAGGTGTTGGTATGCATACAAGGATCTCTAAATTTCTCAGCAGATTCTGATAGAGGGCCACTCAGGACACTATTTTATCGAAGGTGCAGCTTCTGAAACCCGGCAATAATTATTTTTTTCATGGTTTAGTCGAAATTATTCCGGCTGGAAACCATAGCCCAACACAGGGGTAGGGTAAACATAAAATCATAAAATCAAGCATGCAAACCCCCCGTTGACTCCAGGACTATAATGGTATTTTCATGGTTTAGTCGAAATTGTTCCGGCTCGAAACCATAGCAGAAAACAGGGGTGGGGAAAACATAAAATCATGCGTGCAACCACCCGTTGGCTCCTGGACTATAATGGTATTAAATATTAATGGTATAAAATAATTAAAAATATAAACGATTACCTCTCGTTTGACTTGTTAGAAGATTAAATCACTTATTGTCTCTCCTCCGGTGAAAAGTTTCAACTAATCTGAATGTGGCGAGCTTACGGTATATAAACAAAAATATTAGCACAGTATTGGGGAATTGACTTCCCAGAACGGAAACCCCCTCTTCACACACAAGCGATAGACGGTTCAGAGAAAATACAACTAATATGATCATTACTGTTTATATCTAACAAGAAATATTTTTTGGCAGTTATCAGCCATTTCATTGTAGCAAGGATTTCCCCAAGAATTGAGGCCATATCAAGCCAAGAACATAATACATACATCAGGATTAATCATTGTCTCTGTATTTGTTTGTCGTCTACAGGCCGCATTTCTTAATGGACCCACTTGAATCTTTGCATAGTTATTCTTTATACCCTAAGGATCATCACTATTGTTTTTGGTGCATGTCCAACCCCTTAAGGGCAGAGCCATGCCCATTTTCTTTTTGTGTGTCTGTGTGTCGCCTACAGGCTGCAATTCTTAATCGATTGTTGAAACTTTTCATACTTATTCCTTATTCCCCAAGGTTGACCTCTATTATTCTATTATTTTTGGTGCATGCCTGACCCCCTGGGACAGATCCACGACCATTTTTTGTGTGTGTCGCCCACGGGCCGCAATTCTTAACAGATCCTTTTAAAACTGTGCATGCATATTCCTGATACCCCAAGGATGATCCCCAGTGGCAGAACCACACCAATGTTTCTTTGTGTCTTAATGCACCGATCACCAGGGACGGGGACACGCCCAATTTTTGTGTTTATTGCATACAGGCCACACTTCTGATTGGATTATCTTGAACACTTGGTATGCTTTGACGGCAACTATTGGTTTTGGTGCCGGATCCACCCGCACCCCCTTGGGCGGTGCCACACCCACCAATTGTTAATATTGTGTCTGTAAATAATCTACAAGTTGCAATTATTAACAGATTTGGATCCAATTCAGTATAATCCATCATGGGGTTGTACCTATTGATATTGGTCCATGTCCAACCACCAGGGACAGAGCCACGCCCAATTTTTGTGGGGTTTTTTTGTCTACAGGCTGGAACTATGAATGGAACATCTTCGAACTTCCTTTTACCATACGGATAGCAACTATTTATTTTGGTGCTTGTCACTTCCCCCACTGTCACACCCACTTTCTTGTTATTTTTTTGTCTGTACTCTACAGGTTGCAATTTTTGCTCAAATTTAGCCTATCAATAATTTAAGTAATAGGGATGTACCTATTTATATTGTGCCATCTCCAACCCTCAAGCTGATTTTCCGACGTGATTTCCCACTTGTCAGTGGTGCAGAACGGAGGGTCTGGCAAGGACAGTTGTCTAGTCCTTCGAATGAGACGAAAAACCGAGGTCCCGTGTATACATTGGAATGCACGTAAAAGATCTCTTGATAGTTGGAATTCGATATAAGAATAGGCAATAGTCCCGCTGTCCGGGCAAAAGTCATCTCATAGCACACTGTATGGCGTATGCCCGTCTTCATTAGCCCAGTATAGGAGCAGAACAGTAGGACGTTAAACCTCATTTCATTTCATTTCCAACCCTCAAGGGTAGAGCCACGTCCAATCTTTGTGTTTATGGTCTACAGGCTGCAATTCTGAATGGATCTTATTGGTACTTTGGATAGTTACTTCTTATACCGTAAAGACAGCTACTATTTATTTTGACGAATGCCCCGACCCCCTGGGACAGTGTCACACCCACGTTTTTGTTAATAATTACAGTCGTTACAGCCATTTCATATTTCATTCTCTTCATTTTAAAAAAAGTACCATATCAATCAAAGCAGGAATGTGGACGTATATTGCAGCGGAAGCATTGATCCGTTTTCCTTATTTGGTCTGTGTAACATTTGATTTGTGATATTTAATCTGTTCGTACTATTTTGTTGACGTACTAGGTGCACGATGATTGCACTACACACTTGATATAGATCACGCAGCTGTGATTTCAAGTTTTAATAATGTGGTTTCCTGGTAAAGAGAGAGAGAGAGAGAGAGAGAGAGAGAGAGGGTAACGTCCACTCCACACAAACTAGGTCATTTCGGGACTAACATATGGTTTAATTTTATTTCAATAATTCGCTTGCGCGTAGGGGTCTTTAGCAGTGGGAGGAAACCGGAGGACCCGGAGAAAACCCACCAGGTTGGACAGGCGACCCTAATCCTTGTCACGTATAACCGGGGATTCGAAACCACGCCAGTTGACTCAATGACAGGCCTTTTGATACAGCGCGCACGTGCTAACCATTCGGCCGCCCCCCCCTCTGGTTTCCTGGTAAATATATGGACAACATGCTTCGCCCTTATCAGCCTTTGATAGCAAAAGCTTCTAGCATTTACAGCAAACTAACTCTTGTAATCTGTGATGTCACCGGAAGCTTTGTGATGTCACCGGAAGCTTTAACCGTCGTGAAACTAAACACTTGACAAAAATAAGTCTAGGTCATAATCACTGAGATAGTTATAAATATGGACTGGGGTCCTAGACTGTACTAGAGAGAACTAAGGTTGATAACCAGTATTGTAGGTGATATATACAAAATACTAGCATGTGACGTACGGTCATCAAAGGTGTACAGTCTTTAAAGGCTCAATACCACTCTTGTTGTAACTGAATAATATGTCCCAATCTTTTTTCTGGTCAACAAATTGTACTATTTTAGAATATTTCAATTAATTGATGATACAAATTTCATCTTAACACACCTTATTTAAAAATTTTGAAAAATTCAACATAATGGTTTGAAACGTCTAACGTAAACCTTTTCAAATGAAACTTAGATTTAAAATATTTTCGAACTCATAATATTAAAAGTAAAAAGTAAAATAGGATGTAATGGATAATTTAGACAACAGGTAGGACACTTAAACATCTAGTACTTAAATAGAGATATTATTTATTTTCTGGAGCTTTCAAGCCAGCAAGAGTGTTATTGTCCCTTTAAGCAAGAGTATCAGCACAGTATTGGGGAATTGACTTCCAAGAACGGGAACCCTCTCTTCACACACAAGTCATACACGGTTCAGAGAAAATACAACTAATATGGTCATTGCTGTTTATCGAACAGGAAACATTTTTTTGTCAGTTATCAGCCATTTCATTTTAGTAGTGATTTCCTCAAGAATTGAGGCCATAACAAGCCAAGAAAATAATATATAGAGAGAAATGGGGTTTAACGTCCACTCGACACAAACTATGTCATTTCGGGACTAACATATAGTTTACATTTTTTAAAAATAATTCACCTGTGCTTAGGGGTCTTTAGCAGTGGGGAGGGGGGGGGGAAACAGGAGGACCCGGAGAAAACCCACGAAGTTGGACAGGCGATCCTACTTCCTGTCATGTTCTAGCGGGGGAATCGGAACCACTCCACTTGACACAATGGCAGACCTTGTGATTTCACGAGCACGCGTAAAACCACTAGATCCTCCCCCACCCCCTCACGAAAATGATAACATGATTACTTAGATTATAAAGATGGAGGAAACAGGAGGACTCGGAGAATACCCACGAGGTTAGGATGGGCAGACCCAATGGTTTAACGCATGGCCTTTATATCACGTGTTCTGTCAAAGTTGTCAAGTTCCATGGTTTCTATCCCATGCTTGTACGTGACAAGGAGTGATATGACCTGCTTAACCTCGTGGGTTTTTACGGGTTCTACGGTTTCCTACCACTTTTAAACAACCTGTTTGCAAGCGAAGCATTGAAATACAATTATACCATATATTAGTCCCGAAATGACCTAGTTTGAGTTGACCATATTTAAGTCTCGAAATAACGTAGATTGTGATGAGTGGGTGGGTCGGTCGGGTTTGTGCAGGTAAGATTTGATAGAATTCAGCATTATCTGTGTATATATGTACATTTATCTTATTTTCTATTTTTTATAAACGATATTTGATTCACTAGAAATAATGAAAGATCAGAGAACGGGTAAAATTCCCGTATGTCACACCCCTATCCCGTATGCCACACCCCTGTCCCGTGTGTCACACCCCTGTCCCGTATGTCACACCCCTATCCCGTATGTCACACCCTGTCCCGTATGTCACACCCCTGTCCAGTATATCACACCCCTATCCCGTATGTCACACCCTGTCCCGTATGTCACACCCTGTCCCGAATGTCACACCCCTATCCCGTATATCAGACACCTGTCCCGTATGTCACACCCCTGTCCCGTATGTCACACCCCTATCCCGTATGTCACACACCTGTCCCGTATGTCAAACCCCTATCCCGTATGTCACACCCCTGTCCCGTATTTCACACCCCTGTCCCGTATGTCACACCCCTGTCCCGTATGTCACACCCCTGTCCCGTATGTCAGCCCCCTATCTCACCAAACTACTTACTACCCTTTTAAAGACGAGAAGTATGGCTTCTCCGAAATTAGGAAATATTTATTATTTATTATTACTTTTTCCTTATATGGTCTGTATAATATTTGGAGTTCCATTTACGTTTTCCTTATATGGTCTGTATAATGTTTGGTTTGTGACATTTGAGATTTTCCTACTAGACTTACTAGGTTACGATGACCGCACTACGTAATTGCTTGCAATAGATCACGCAGCTGTGATTCAAATTGTAATTGTTTCCTGAGAAAGAGAGAGAGAGAGAGAGAGAGAGAGAGAGAGAGAGAGATGGGTTTAACGTCCATTGACACAAACTGGGTAATTTCGGGACTAACATATGTTTCAATTCTATTTCAATAATTCGCTTGCGCGTAGGGGTCTTTAGCAGTGGGAGGAAACCGGAGGACCTGGAGAAAGCCCACGAGGTGGGAAGGGCGACCCTACTCCTTGTCACGTACAACCGGGGAATCGAAACCAAGCCAGTTGACTCAATGACAGACCTTATGGCGCAACGCGCACCCGCTAACTATTAGGCTATCTACCCCCCCCCCCCTAACGAAATGTAAATTATAAAATTTGAGATGAAAGGAAACAGGATCTCTCGTGAAAACCAACACCCACATGGCCAGATATATACATGTATGATACCAATACGGAGATACCCATCCACTTTAATGTATTGCTGGATCATGTCAATTTGACACTAGCAGTATCTAGGCCACTGAATCACAACAAACAACA